TTTTCTTTATAACTTGGCTTACAAAGAATATGACCCTTTCACCATTATTTTAAGATAATATCCTAAAGTAGGGAAAACTATTTCAAGAGCTTGTGATTAATAGTATCTGTATCAGTACAGATTGTGGTTATGATTCAATCTATCTTTCCTTTGAACATTCATACAATCATGATAATAAGTTCCTATAACTGTAATTTCATCATTAAGATAAAGTCTGCTAAATACTCACAAATGGTCTCATAAGAAAGAATTAGTTGTGCTCATGTCTTCACAGATTTCAGTTTGTTGTATTTGAAATACGGCAATTTTCACAATATTATTCAAATATCTTAATAATATTTGTGACATAACAAACTACACATATTTTGTTCTATCATTCACCACTGTCTATCTGTATTGGCCAAGTGCATGAGAATGTCCAGGATAAACAAGTGACCTTTGGTGAGCAACAAAGACCTCCTGCCAATATCGGAGTTTATTATGAAATATGCAGGCTGATCTTGGATGATAGTTTCTTAAATGGAGTTGCTAAAGGAGATTAGTTGTTAAATGACAATAAAATGTACTTTTTAGATGGATTGGGGGAATGGCCATTTATAATATCATAGCAATTGTAATACTACTAAGCAATATAAATGAACAGACTATATTGATACATGCAATGACACCGTAATGCCAAATGTTTTATGCCAACTCAAAAATTAGACTTAAAAGCCTTTACTATGTGCTTCCATTTGTGTGACATTCTGGAAAGGCGAAAACAATAGGATAGATTACCCGGTCATAAAGTTGGTGGGAGTTGTTAACCACAAAGGGACAAGAAGTGAGAATTTTAGAGAGTGATGGAACTGTTCCGTATTTTGATCATGTTTGTGGTAACACAATTCTATGGATTTGTCAAATCTCATAAAACTTACACCAAAAATAGTATATTTTACTTTGTATGCAAATTTAAAATTTACTGTGTCTAAGTTAAAAAAATAAATAAATACTGTCAAGTAAGAAAGCCATTACTATGATGTTATATCTTAATTTACAAGTTTTACTTAAGCCAATTTACCCTCTTACTCACACATTGGCCCAATTTTAGCAAAGCCTCCTAAAAAGAGCTTCTAGAATCTATCCAAATTGCAGCACACTGGCTCACGCATTGGTGCGTCCAAGAGGCTCCTTCATTATAGGTACCTTAGCAACTTCCTCATGATCCTAGAGTCTTGGGATCTCCCAAGATGGTCATAAATTGACAAGGAATTCTGGTACAAGAAACTGCCCTCCTCAGGTCCATGCTACACACCATCAGAGTGGTAATTGCAAGGGACTGGGCTCTCCTGAAAATAAAGGCTTTTACAGGCCTCTACCCTTAGGTGTCCATTATGACCTTTGTCATGAAAGCAGCACACCCACAAGCTTAGTGCAGCCTCTGGGGCCTCCCTGCTAAGGATAGAGCTGACCCTGAGCTCTCTGGTATATCCTACTTACAGAAGTGTGTGGCCTCCCGTGTCCTCAGTCCCTTGGCAGAGACCATGGTGGTCATTTCCTTCCTAGACCATTTGGAATCAGTTGAATGAACAGGAAAGGGAGTTTATACTAAGGACAGCTTCCCTACTATTGCACAAGATGGAGCTCCCCAGAGCAGTTGCTTTTTGTGCCTCAATCAGGGCAACACTAATCACAGATGAGAATCAAGTATCAGGGGCTGGCCTGGTGGCACAGGGGTTAAGTGCACACATTTGGCTTTGGTGGCCTGGGGTTCACCAGTTCGGATCCTGGGTGTGGACATGGCACTGCTTGGTTAGCCATGCTGTGGTAGACGTCCCATATATAAAGTAGAGGAAGTTGGGCACAGATGTTAGCTCAGGGCCAGTCTTCCTCAGCAAAAGGAGGGGGATTAGTGGAAGATGTTAGATCGGGGCTCATCTTTCTCAAAAAAAAAAAAAAAGAATTCTTGCTAAAAAAAGTTGAACTTGAATCCATTGAAGCCTTTACTTCTAGTTGCTACTAGCTCATAGGAAGTACCAAAATGTAAGGAACAACGTAAATAATACCAGAATTTGAACTCAAACAATTTGAAAGTTTTGAATATCCTGTAAGACAACTGACCAGGTATCTCTAACAAATCAATAGTTTTAAAATGGCCATTAAATGGACCATTTGGGGATTAAAACATAATAAGTTGTCACTAAATAGATTAAAATGAGAGATGAATATTGCAAAATAAAAGTGACCTGAGAGAATACCAAACAAATGCAATGGCTGGATCTTGTCTGTTTGATAATAAAAACAACCAACTGTAAAGAGATCACTTTGAGAAAATGAAATCAAAGATTCTATTAAATATAAGTGGCCTAAACGCAATAAGCAAATGGTAAAGATTTTCAGTTTGGATAGAAAGCAAGACCACACAATATGCTTGCTGTTTACTAAAAGAAAACTGGTTGAAATATAAATAAACTGATATTCCAAAGTGAAGGAATGGACATCAATATATGATGCAAACACTGATAAAAAGTGAGCCAGTGTAAATATATTGATAAAGCAGACTTCAGATAAATAAATATTACCAGGAATAAAGAAGACTGTAGCATAATGAAAAAGGAGTCAATTCACCAAAAACACATAAAAACCTTAAATGTGTATTCACCTAATAAGAGAAATTCAAAATTCATGCACAGGAAAATAAAGAAATAAAAGCAAAATAAACAAATCTACACTTTAATTAATGAATGCAATTTATTTCCCCCATTACTCAATATAAATGTAGACAGATAATCAGTAAGGAGTTGGATGGCACTGACTTACACTATTAACCAATTTGACATTAATGACAAAAACAGCAGAATATCCATTTTCTCCAAGCTCATATGTAATATACTCCGTTCACCAAAATAAACTGTATTGGGACTAAAAAATGATGAATTCTTAAGAAATTTGGTCATACCATACTCCTTGGCAAAAAAGAAAATAAATCAAAAATCAATAAAAAAATCTATGAAATCTCCCAAATATTTGGAAATAAAACGACAAACAGAATATATATATTCTTCTCAAGTGAACATGCAATATTCCACAAGATAAAATGGTAGTAGATAATAAAGTAGACCAAATTTCAATTCAATGGTAAAAAGAGAATAATGCAACTATGAAATACAACCAAAATTTTAGAAAACAACTAAATGCAATCCCTATTTAATTCCTATATCGAAATAAATTCCAGATGGATCAAAACATTTGTTTTGCTTTTTACTTTTTGGTTTTTTTAAAGATTGGCCCTGAGTTAACATCTGTGGCCAATCTTGTTTTTCTTCTTCCCAAACCTACCAGTACATAGTTGTAGGTCTTTCTAGTTCTGCTATGTGGAATGCAGCCCCAGCACAGCTTGATGAGTGGTGTTAGGCCCACGCCCAGGACCCGAAGCAGCCAAACCATGGGCCACCAAAGTACAGTGTGCAAACTTGACCACTCAGTCATGGGTCTGGCCCCTCAAAAGTTTTAAAATAAGGTAAAGACCAGAAAAATGCTTAAAAAAATAAATGCTAAGTAATAGTTGAAGAAAATATTGTTAGGAGTGAAGTGGGGATAGTCTTTTTAAGAGTGACACAAAAACAAAAAAAATTAAAGAAAAAAATATTACATGCCAAAAGCAATATATGTACTATAACAAGTCAAAACATAATACAAGCCAGAAAAATAATAATTACATATACAATAGTAAAAAGAATATTTTTTAGTATAAAATAACTCACAAAAATCAGTATGCAAATGATCAACTGAATAAAATAGATAAAAGATATTAATACACATTTTACAGAAAAAGAAACACAAACTATGCTAAACATGTGAAAAGATACTCAAACTCAAGGATCAAAAGAATTTTTTGTAAATGAAATAAAATAACTTTGTTCAGATATCATACACCATAAACATTTATCAGGTACTTGAGAATGTGGACAAAAGTGTTCTCAAAGATGGTGGGTGGGAGTGCAGCAATTAGCACAACCTTAAGGATTGCAGTTGGGCACGAACTATGAATACCAACATTTTATGTAGATACACTATCTGACCATTGATGCAAATACATATATGACAATTTCAGTTCTAGGAACTCATACTTACATATATTTAAAAACATACATTTATTGCAAAATAATTTGGCATAGAAAAAGATGAGGAACAACATGAAGACGGATACATCCATTTAATTTTAGTATGTATTTATAAGGCAGCATAATACAATAGGAGAAAAAATAAAAGTTAGATCTATATGAACTTGTTTGGAAATATCTTCAAGATGTTGCATAGTAAAAGCAAATATTTACATACACAGGAAGAATCACACATATATTTGAATACATTTGCATTTTAAAAGGTTATTTGAACAGATCTTAAGAAACAAATTAAGTGACTGCCTCTGTGGAAGAGGACTGGAGATTATAATGAGAGACAAATAAGAAATTTATTCCACACTTTATCCCATTTTGTATGGTTTTCATTTTTACTACCTATTATTATCTATCACTTCTATTTTCCTTAAAAAGGTAGAAGTATTGCACTAAAAGCGTTATTCATAACTGAAATTTCATAGAGAACACTGTCTATACAACATTAAATATCTTAAATACAATGATAATAAGACAAATGACAAGAATATAAATAAAAATGATACTAAGTCTCAGAAAAAAGAAAAAAGAGAAATACATATTTTGATTAAAAATTACTGTAACTATATAAAAATTTCCTCCCTAATTCATTACATATTATCAGCTCCTTCTATATAGGCATTACAGCTTTCTAGCTGAAGTGGTAAACAAGACATTGTAGACCTTACAATCTAGCAGGGAGAGAAATAGTGATTAATGGTACAATCACACAGTTCATTCCCTAATCATAATTATCATCAATTCTTTGAAGAAAGAAAGCAAGTATCAGATTTAAGAACAAAAGTGCATTTCAAGGAAGTGGACCATAATGTCAAATGACTGTCTTCATGGTAGATGATGTACTTATTTACCACAAGATACGACATTTCTTCTCCAGAGCTTCTTCATAGCATTTGTCACCTCTGAATTTCTCAGAGTATAGATTAATGGGTTCAGCATGGGGGTTATGACTGTATAAAACAGACTCAGTGGTTTGTCAATGGAGAAGGTCTTAGCAGGTCTCACATACATGAAAATACAGGGAAGAAAGAAGAAGACAACCACAGTGATGTGGGAAATACAGGTCTGGAAGGCTTTCCACCTCCCTTCATGACTAAGTTTCTTTAGAGAGTGCAAGATGACACCATAAGAGATGAGTAAGAGCAGAAACACAATAGTGCAGATCAGGCCTCCATTGACCATTACTAAGTAGTGAATGACATAGGTGTCAGTACAGACGAGTTTCAATAAGGGGTACATGTCACAGATAAAATAATCAATAACATTGGGGCCACAGAATGGGAGCCCATAAATAATAGAAAGTTGAATTACTGAGTGCAGAAAGCCTCCAATCCAACACACTAATAGCAGCACAATACACACCCATTGTCTCATGATAACCAAATAATGCAAGGGCTTGCAGATGGCCACATAGCGGTCATAGGCCATCACCAACAGAAGAAACACCCCTGATCCACCAGAGAAATGCTCTGTAAAGAGCTGAGCCATACAAAATTGGAAAGATATGGTACTATTCCCACAGAACAAGTCTGAAATCAATCTGGGAGTAATGGAAGAGGAATAAATGACATCCATAACTGACAGGCTAGCAAGAAAAAGGTACATTGGGGATTTCAGGGACTTAGTGAAAGTTACAGTCACAACAATGAGCATATTGCCTACCATAGTCAAAATGTAGAAGAGCAAGAACATAACAAAAAGGATTTTCTGCTCCTTTGGATTCTGTGTGAGGCCCAAGAGGACAACGTAAGTCACATTATTCCTTGGTTCCATCTAATCTTTGTAGGTGCTGACTTCAGATATAAGAAGCAGTTTACCTACAAAGCAAGAGGGAAAACTTTTAAATGTATTATAAGTTTAATATTTTGTTTATTCATTCAATTATTAGAATGTGTACAGAGTATCTGCTTGTGTAATAGACACTGTGATTACAAAGTTGAATAAGACATAGTTGTCTACCCTCAGTGATTTGATATACAAAGAAGGATAAATCAAGTCTAGGTTAATCCTAGGCTAATAAGAGCCATTATAAAAATATTCACACAATGCTAAGGGTCACAGCATAAGAATATATCAATCAAACTCGAATCAGAGAAGGCTTCCTAGAGGAGGGAATGTTTTAGCTTAGTTTTCAAGGAAAAGTGAAGGAACAAGAGAAGATGGGAAGGGAATTCCATGAAAATGTACACTATTCATAAAATCACAAAAATGTAATACTTGCAACCCATTGAAGGGTTGCAATTTAATTGCAATTTAATTTAATTTCCATAGATTAAATTGTGAATGGAAGATCACCATCCTGCATTGTCTCAGTTCTCATTGAGGCCACTTCCTTAGAGTCTTTATATGTATTTATTTATTTATTTATTTTATTGGTGAGGCAGATTGGCCCTGAGCTAACATCCATTGCCAATCTTCCTCTTTTTGCTTGAGAAAGAGTCTCCCTGAGCTAAAGTCTGTGCCAATCGTCCTCTATTTTGTGTGTGGGGTGCCACCACAGCATGACTTGATGAGCAGTGTGTAGGTCTGTGCCTAGGATCTGAACCTGTGAACCCCAGGCTGCCCAAGCAGAGCATGCAAACTTAACCACTATGCTACTGGGCAGGCTCTTAAGGTCTTTAGATGGATAATTCCCTTTTGTGTGACAAATAAATTCTTAAGCACTTAAATTTTGTGTCTCTAGTCCCCATCTCTCCCCTATTTTCAAACATGTATATGCAGCACCTCCAATTTTAGACATCTCTAATTGGATGCCAATTTAGTATTATAAAACTAAATTTTCAATTTTACACAATAAACGTGTTCTTCATCTCATTAAATGGTACCACCTTCCATGTGATTGTTCAGACAACAAATCTCACAGTGTCCTTCACTCCTCTATTGCTCTTATATTTACTTAATAACTTTAACATGTCCTATTGACTCTACTTTGTAAATATATCACAAATTTGATCAGTTCCCACCCCCTGTTTTCTTCCTGGACCAATGGAATAGCCTATTGCCAAGGTTCTCCACCTTCATTCAGCCCTCCACCAATTTCTTCTCCTTAAGTAGTGTAAACGGTTCGTTTTTAAATCTTATTCTGGTTATATCACTCTGACGTTCAACAGTGGATTAATAACACACAACCACAATTTAAAGTATCACATTTAATATTTACAGTAACAAGAACTGTAATCCCGATTTTGTATTTGAAGAACTTGAGGCTCAGTGCCTCTAATTAATTTTCCCAATGTCACACATTTTTAAGTGATAAACCCGAATTGGATTCTAAATTTGACTTATTTCAAAGTTATTTAACTTCTTACATAATGAAGAAATTCACATGATTAGGAACCCTGATTCCCACTATTGACAGTTAGTCTTACCTTGTGAAGGCTTTTCCACAATCTGAAGGAAGACTTTTTCAGTCATTCAAAGGGACCTAGAATTCTTCATTCATCCAGTATAACAACAGAGGACAAAAGGCCACATTATAACTTGAGTATATATTTTGTTCCATTCAGCTACCTGTCCATTTTCTCCAAGGACTTCTCTGATTATTTAGAAGATTGTTTTTACTTGCACAGCAGATTATTTAATAGGATTTCCATAGTAGATACAGAGAAACAAAAATGTGTCATGTTAGGATCATTTATCAAAAGGGCAAGTAAATTTACATGAGAATAGCTAAAAAGCCATTTCCCAGGGAAATATTTCTATAGTAACTTCTTTCTTACTAACCTCAAAATAGAAAAGTACCATTCAATTATTTAGTCCTTCTCATTCTACTGTGTTGGGAGGGCCAGTCTATTTGAACTGAGATTTTGACAAAAATTCTTGCTTTTGTTTTGATATTACACATTAAGCCTAAGAAAGGAGCTCTTGAAAATTTCTCAATTCTAAAGCATCTTCTCCCCAAAGGAACAAAAATCATTGGACATTTTATCCCTTCCAACCACATTCATCATTGAGTCCTGGAATTGGCTTATGTCCAAGACTAACTTTTGCTTAATTAAATTCACTGGGATTTGACACAAAATTAAAAAACAAAAACACATAGGTAAAGTCAGTACTAGTCCAAACCACATAATTAGGATCATAAATATGTAACATGGAGGGAAAAAAAAAACTTTAGAACCATTATAAGACTATTGTGAGTCAAGAATAAAATATCAGCCCATTTTGTTCCAGTGAAGATTAATTTATCAAGTATTTCCTCACTTGTCATAACAAGTTTTCCCTTCCTTTTATTTAATGCTCAATTTATTTTATCTTCAAGTGTGGTAACATGTTAAAAAGAAATTGTCACTAATTTAGTTGTAATAACTGATTAGTTATCCAATGATTCATTATTTTTTAAAAAAGTTAAGAGCACTTATTTTATGCCATTGCCAACTTAAAAATAAAATTCACCTGTTATTTTACCCTCAAAATGAGTTTATTTGGGAATAGCCAAAGGAATTTCATTTTGGGAAGTGCATGCTATGGAGAATCATAGACAAATCTGGAAAACAAAGGAGGAGAGTTTGCTTTTATAAAGAAAAAGGTGGAGCAGACAGGGCTGTTCTAGAAGGAAGTCCCTGAGGGAAAGTAACAGTTCAGGGAGGCAATGGCTTCTCATTGGCTGAGTTACAGCATTTCTCATTGGCAGGGCTGTTGCCAAGTGGGCAGAAGAATCTTCCCTGAGTAGTAAAGTACATCTGCTTCCTGTTGAAGATGTAAGCCCAGGTCATTTCTTATTTGGTGTATTTGAGAATGTTTGTGAGGGTGTGAGTGTTCCCCCTACAGGCTTCTGGACTCAAATTTAGTTAAGGGTTGTCTGAATAATTTCTATACCAGGAACTGTGCCATGAATGAGGACACAGTAATTAATAAAACAGAAAAATAGTCACATGAAAGGTGCTTCCTACATGGGCCTGACATACTTAAGATAGAGTCAGATAAAAGATAAGTGGACGGTTTAATAAGTTAATATTTCTTATTCAGTACTTATGAGACAGCAAACAGGGTAGAAAGACAGAAAATAAGAGGAAGAGTTCTACCATGGATAAGGTTATCAGAGAAGGACTTTCTTAAATAGTGATGTTAAAGCTGAGATCCAAAGGATAGGAAGTTGCTGCCATTGGAAGTGCTGCTACAACTAGTAATATGAAGTAAAACTTAATTGAGTAAAACTATCCCACCTCACAGATGACATGATCCATATGTGAAAAAATAAAAATTTCACAGGAGTTTTTATTGCACTATCGTGTTGAAACAGAGCAGTGAGAATGGTCGCTTTTATCTTGTTCCTGATTTTAGTGAGAACATTTTCAGACTTTCACTGTTCAGCATAACGTTAGCTGTGGATTTGTCATATTTGACATTTATTATGTTGAGGTATATTCCTTCTATACTCAATTTCTTTAGGTTGTTTTATCATAACACGATGTTGAATTTCTATAGAATCTATGAATGACCCAAAAATGAGATTAAGAAAACAATTCCATTTACGGTAGCATCAAAAAGAATAAAATACTTAAAAATAAACTTAACCAAGGAGGTAAGAGGTTTGTACACTGAAAACTGAAAAATGTTGCTGAAAGATATTATAGAAGACATAAATGGAAAGAGATTCATGGACTGGAAGATTTATTATTATTAAGGTGTCAAACTATCTAAAGTGATCTATGGATTCAATGCAATGCCTATAAAATCTCAGAAGTGTATTTTGCAGAAATTGAAAAATCTATCCTAAAATTCACATGGAATCTCAAGGGACCCCAAGTAGCCAAAACAATCTTGAAAATGAACAAAGTTGGGGGTCTCACACTTCCTGATCCTAAAACTTACCACAAAGCTATGGTAATCAGAACAGTATGGTTTGGGCATAAAGACAGACATATAGACTAATGGAATAAAATAGAGAGCCTAGAAATAAACCTTTGCATATATTTTGAATTGATTTTTAACAAGGGTTCCAATAGCCTCCAATGGTGATAGGACAATCTATTAAACAAATGGTTTTCTGAAAATTGGATATCCACAAGCAAATGAATGAAATTGAACCCTGACCTTATACCATATACAAAAAATTAAAATGGATGAAAGAACCTAAAATACCAGCTAAAACTATAAAACTCTTAGAAAAAAGTTGTATTTGGCAATGATTTCTTGGGTATACACCAAAGCACAGCAAGAAAAGAAAAAACAGACAATATTGTACTTTATCAAAACTAAGAACTTTTGCACATCAAACAACTTTATAACAAGGTGAAAAGGCAATCCACTGAAAGGGAGAAAATATTTGCAAGCAGTATATCTAATAAGGCATTAATATGCAGAATATATAATTAACTTCTACATCTCAACAACAGCAACAAAGTAATTAACTGATCAAAAATGAGCAAAGAACTTAGACTTTTCTCCAAAGAAAATATATAAATGGCCAGTAAGCCCTTGAAAAGGTGCTCAACATCACTAATCATTAGGCAAATGCAACTCAAAACCATAATAAATTTCAGCTTCACACCCATTCGGATAGATATAATTAAAACATCAACAACAACAGAAAATAACACACATAGAAAATGTGGAGAAATTGGAACAATTTTACATTGCTGGTGGGAATGTAAAATGATATCGTCTCTAGGGAAGCCTTATCATTTAGAACAGTCATGTTTTCAGAGAAATCAATTCTCTGAAATCTGACCTATGCCTAAAACCACTCCATATCCTATGTCAGGCTCACTAACGTAAAATGAGCAACAAAGCCCTATAATGAATCTTTCCAACTTACCTTATCCAAGTCT